GGCCCCATCCCTGGGACCATTCCAGGCCAGGTTGGCCGGGGCTGTGAGCAACCTGATGTGGTTCAAGGTGTCCCTGGTCCTGCAGGGGGGTTGGGCTGGGTGGGCTCTGGGGGTCCCTTCCCACCCAAAACATTCCATGGTTCTATGATTCTTTGATACAACCTGGCAGCCATGAGCTTGCTTAGGGCCCACTCAGGATTCTGAATATTGGTGACTGGTGTTGTGCGCGGCCACCTCGCAGCGTAGATACATCGTCGGCGTGAAAGTCAGTGAGTCCCGCGCTGCTGCTGATTAAATATGCAGTAGGAAGGGCATTACAAAGGAAGCCATGGGTTAATGCAGAAATTGGGTCTAATTACTGTTCCTGACCCCTCCACCCATTCCCATTTGTTCAAATAGTCAGCTCCAGATGGCAAAAATGCTAGGGAGAGAGAAGGCACCTCCTGAGACGATCCCCGGGTTAGCAGACTGCGTCCTGCCGGAGCAGCCCTCCCCGCCAGCCCTTGGCCGTCCGACTCCACAAGGGCTCTGACTTCTCTGGTGCCGCTGTCATAGAAACGCTGAAAATTCATCCCCGTGGTTCTGAAATGTCTCTTGTCACGACAGCACTGGCTCCTCCCTAGGCGCTCTGTGGAGCGGGGTTACTTCGGAGGCACCAGAAGTCATTTTCTGGGATGTTCTCCGCGTTGCTGTGGCAGCAGCAGCGCACTTGGCACCCGGGCCGCTATCAACAGCGACGCTTTAGCGCACGGATGTGTTTGCAGCAACACGTGTCACCGCCGCGCTCGTTACGGCAGCGTTGCCGGGGGAGAGAGCTCCATCACAAGTTATGACATCATCTGAGCCCTTTTGGGCTACTTCGGAGCTATCCAGGGCCTTTCACGCACAAAAAGTCCCTTTTTGTGTACTGTCGTTTTGCTTTTGAGAAGTTCCAGTGGCTGGGATTCCTGTGAGCCTCGACTGGGTTTTAATCTGGTAAAGGCGTAGCGATTTCCCCACCTCCAGCGCGGGAGTGCGCCTCGGACGGCTGCGCTGAGGGGAAGCAAAGATGCAGCAGAGAAGGCTTGGCTTTCGAAAACGCGGTGCCTGAATTTCTGGGTTCATCAGCGCTTCAGTGCTCAGTCAGAAGCATTTGAGCTTCTTGGGGGTTTTTTCTTTTCCCCTCTTCTTTTCCCCTCTTCTTTTCCCCTCTTCTTTTCCCCTCTTCACCTCCAAGTAAAACATACACTTAGCATATCTTAAACTTGGACCCCCAAAGCAGCTCGGAGCTTACCCACTTCTGATCTGATTTACTTGCAGAAAGACCCCCTGGAAAAGGCAGCAGGAGAATGAGGAGCCTGTCTTGACTCTTGAACTTAAGCGTAGATCATCAGCAAGTGCTGCAGAAAGCACGGAGATTCCTGAGCTTCTTGATGAGTCAGCGTCAGATGTCCAGGCCTCTGCTCCTGCTCTATCCATTACTACATGGGAATTAACAAAACAAATGCTTGTGTGCTCATTAAATTAGTCACAACTGCAAGAATTTATTCAGTCGCCTAATGCAAAGAAACAGCGAGCAGAGAAGCGCGTCTCCTCCTGTGGCGCTTGCAACGCGTCCCCTCGTGCTCCAGGGCCTGAAACGCCTTCGTTCCCCGTCGGGCCTCGATGTCCTGCCTCATCCCTCTAGCTTGTACGGGATAATTTTGCTCCCGTATTTTTGTAGCCTTCATCTTTCAGAGAAGCTTTAACCGGGGGCTAATCAGTGTAATTTTTAATTGTTAATTTGGCGCGCTCTCTGAAGCTGATTAGATGACCTTGCCAGGCAATCAGTGGGGAATTGTTCGAGCGGAGCGCACAGGCTGGGTGAGCTGCCAGCCCCCTGGCGCGCTGCCACCCTTGCTGTTTATAGACCCGTCAGAAGAGCCGAGCGCCGCGGAGAGCTCCCGATCCGAGCACCAGCTGCCTGCGCGCTGACCCCAAGCAGAGTTACTGCCCGGGAGCTGCGGAGTCTGATGAGCAGAGCTCCATTTTCCACGGCATTCAGTGCTGGTTTCTTTCTCGGACACTTACTTAAAGCCAGCTGCAATTTCTTCATTTCCCAGTCAGTAAGTGCTCTAACGGCCGGGTGCGTTACTGGTACGGATTTGTGAGTACCTCGGTTTCCACCCTCTGCCCAGCGACACATGAAACTCCTTGCTGCGGCTGTGTCATTTCTCACTCCTCGGCGTGACTGTTCCCGTGGTGGATCTCGCTGGTGGATCTTGCCTGCCGTTCTGCCCTCGGCCTTGACCTCCGAAGTCTTGCACTGAGCCCTCCTTTATTGGGTTACGGTAAATGCAGAAGGGCTGTTATCAGCATTTACGTAGCTCAGCTGCAAAGCTGCAGTCTTTAACGAGATGCTTTAAAATTCTTGACGATCTCCCTTATCTGAAATGCTGGATGATAAATTGGGTGTAACAGGATTGAGCATCGCTGGTGTGCTGACGAAGCATGAATGCTGAAGCCTGCGCCAGACCCACCTCTTTCCGTACAAAATAAACCCCCGCTTGTCTTTCTAACACCAGATCAAGTCAGGGAGGCCAAACCAGAGCTCAGAATCCTCTCAGACTTCTGCTGCTGCCCGCTTTCTGCCTTTTGGTGGCTGTGGACAGCGTCTTCAGCTGCTCGGTCACGCAGGACCATGAAATAAGCGGTCTCACCCTGGAGGCCAGGTTATACACCCAGGTCGGGGGCTAACTCCACACTTGGTGTTGTTTAGTGTAGGATATGTTGTTTTCTAATCTCATACAGCTAGAGCCTTTGTCCAGACTAGCACTGTCTCAGCCCTGATTGCTGCTACATCCTTTCCTCTGCCCTGGAGGGCAGCGATCTCGCCCTGCCCAGCAATCTCGCCCTGCCCGGAGCGCTGCAGGATGCTGCTGCACAGGTTGTTTCCCCTGCCACCGCTGTTAACACTCTCCATGCCATCCCCCACTGGCTCTTTTTTCCCTACCTCATCACACCTATGCACAGCTCCATTTTTAAAGCCATTCTTGGTCTGTCCTTACTGTCTTCTCACATCATCGCTGTGAAACCTGTTTTTACCATCCCGTGATGCCAGCCTTCCTCACCCCTTCAGAATATCTGGTGGCTTTAGTGAGTTGTAAGGGGCTTTTCAGCAAGATTTTAAAAATCAAAATAAAAAGTGACCCTCCTCCAAAGAGCAATTAGGAATATGCAAAGTCCAAAACTTTCTACCTAGGACATTATTTGGGGCAATTTGTAAACTTGTATTTAGGTGGAAAATTGGATATGAACGCTTTCCAGGCTTGGAGAGTAAGGGTACGTTAACAGAATTTCAGCAGCATTGGAGCAGTCCTCTCCCACCTGCTTTAGAGAAACCAGAAGTTTGCACATCAGTAGTCTGTCCAGAGAATCCCAGAATCCCAGCCTGGCAGGGGTTGGCAGGGCCCCCCAGAGCTCCCCCAGTGCCACCCCCCTGCCCAAGCAGGCTCACCCAGAGCAGGGGGCACAGGACAGCGGCCAGGCGGGGGTTGAAGATCTCCAGAGAAGGAGACTCCACAGCCCCCTGGGCAGCCTGGGCCAGGGCTCGGGCACCCTCACAGTCAACAAGTTCTTCCTCCCGTTCAACTGGAACCTCTTCTGCTTCAGGTTGTGCCCATGGCCCCTTGTCCTGGCGCTGGGCACCACTGGGAAGAGTCTGGCTCCGTCCTCGTGACCCCCACCCTTGAGATATTTGTACAGCTGGGTGGCGGTGCTGTTTGTCCACCGGGAACCCACGTGCAACACAAGCTATTGGGTCGGTCTCCAAATCTGCTAGAATAAATGCAGATTCTGCGACAAGTTCAGTGCAGGGGGCTGCTGACGGTTGGGTATCACGGTGGGGGGGTGTACCTTCCCGGAGGATAGGTCACCTGGGGAAAAAGGCAGCACTTGCTGTCTGGAGCAATGGTTATAGATCTGTGTAGTCGGGGGGGACGGGGCGGTTGACTCACTGGCGCTTGTCTCTTTTGCAGTTGGTGTATCCCTATGACTTCAGACTAACAGAGAAGGAGGTAACAACTATTCTTTTTCTCTGTTTTTCCTGGTTTTAAAGATACTGAGCGGCGGTGATGGAGGTTTTCTTACTGTGTGCTTTTGTTTGTTGCAGAAAACCAATATCTGCTACTTGTCCTTCCCAGACTCCTACTCAGGTAGGTGGCATCTGTTGGCCTTGCCGGCAGCCTGCGGGGTGGCGCGTGGCCGTTACGAAAGAACCGGGTTCGCGATGGAAGGAGTGAGTCATTGCCTCTCACGCAGCAGCGGCCGACGGGCTGTATCTTCCAGAACCGTGACAGCAAGGAGCACCCAGCCCTTAGGTCTGCACAAAGAGGCTTCTTGTCATTTGGATTGCTCTCCGCATATAGAATCCGCGATCTAGTGGGTGACAGGACAATTTCTTGATAAGCTTGCGCAGTCATGCTTCACCCCCTCAATAAAACATTTTAAAAGGTCACCAAGCGTAGGTTCCCTGGCGTTTGCAGCTCTCGACTGTCAGCATTTCTGTGTTTGTGAGTGAAGAGAAATAGGTGGGGAGAGGATGCCTTCGCAGCAGAGGTATTCCTGACGCTTCTATGTCCAAGTCAGGAAGGTGGCAATAAGAAATGAGCATGGTAATTCGTCCCAGTACCCGTTTCTTTAAGACTCATTCCTGACTCTTAGTTTTCTACAGCTTTGCCTCGCTTGTTTTAAATGTTTTTAAGGATCTTCTTTCAACAGTTTCTCAGAGCTTAGTGAACGCTTGGGCTAAATGGCCCTGTTACTGAAGTAGATTATTTACTAACAGTAATATCTTCACAACACGCGCGACTCTTCGGAGCGTGGCATCTGCAAACTGTGGGAAGGGAGAGTGTCCTCCTGCCCCCTTGCAGGCCTTAGTTTAGCACTGGGTTTTGTTGAGCAAGCTTAGCGTGTTTAACTCTTTCCTCACAACTGACCTCTTCGTACGCAGTCGGCCCCAGCCCTTCTGCCCACCCAGCTGATGAAGCCTCTGGAGGACTTCGTGCTGCTTTTTTCCCTGCCGTACAAAGTGTGCTTGGTGGGGGGCGAGCAGTACAGCCTGACCTGGGCAGTGCCGGCTGTGGTGCTTGGCTGGCTCATTTGCTAGAACCGTTGTGCAGGGGATTGTCCTTAGAATCAGTGTTTGTGGTCTTGGATTAAGGCTGTCTGTCGGTTTTTTGGTAGGGCGGGTGGGAAGTGGTGGCTGCAGCTACTCAGGATAGACGATACTGGCCAATGCCTTTAAGTTTCCCAGCAATGGCCTGGCAAGGTTTAGCTTAACGATACCAGTTCTTGTCTTTGGCTACGTATCCGTCCTTGTCTTGCACTGGAATTTTGGGGTTTCTTTATGCCGTTACTCTCCACTTCGTTTTCAGGTTTGGAGTTCCTTGTAAATCAGCATCCCTGGTTTTGTCAGCATTTCAGATTTAAGCAATTTCCAGCTTCCTCTTTCCTGTTACTTCTTCCTGAGCGTTTGTGATCTTCTGTATCTCAGGTGGCCTGGGGGATACCCAGTTTAGCTTCCGCCTTCGTCAGTCTGGGGGGCAGAGGACCGCGCATTACGAGGACGATGGCGAGTACAACAGAGAAGCACCCCTGACGCTGCAGGTCAGTGCTATTTCAGCGCACTACTTACTCCTGCTAAGCCAACTGTAGTGTTATTGGGGTGAAAGCCAAATATGCTTTTGATTTGATTTCTGTGCATAAAGTGCTCCTCCTCTGGCCACGGGAATAGTCAGAAAAGGAGAAGGCTTTCGGCACAGGGACTTACTTCCACATTAATACTCACAGAGGGCCATGTTGAGAATCCCAGCTACTCTGAGAGGTGGAACTGAATCAGGGACCCCAGATTAGAGCGATGGTCATGTCTAGCTACAGCGAAAAGATAAACGCTGGCCCACAGGTGACATCCAACAGAGTGCATGTCTACCTGCGCATGTTACCATGGGGCAAGACAAGGAGATCCTCGTCTGTGGTAAATGAGATGTTTGCCTCTTGTGCTGAGGGATGGCAGTTCTTTTCATTTATTGCATTTATAAAAACATCTGGAATAACCTGGACAAGCTGGAGAGGTGGGGTCATATGAACCTTATGAGGTTCAACAAGGCCAAGTGCAAGGTCCTGACCCTGGGTCAATACAGGCTGGGGGAAGCGAGGATGGAGAGCAGCCCTGCCCAGAGGGACTTGGGGGTGCTGGTGGATGAAAAGCTGGCCATGAGCCGGCCATGGGCGCTGGCAGCCCAGAAGCCAACCCTACCCTGGGCTGCATCAGGAGAAGGGTGGCCAGCATCGAGGGAGGGGATTATGCCCGGGGGGGACAAGCTTTTTAGTAGGGCCAGCTGGGACAGGATAAGGGGGGATGGCTTTAAACTGAAGCAGGGGAGGTTTAGGCTGGATCTAAGGCAGAACTTCTTTCCAGTGAGGGTGGTGAAACCCTGGCAGGGGTTGCCCCGAGAGGGGGTGGAGGCCCCATCCCTGGGACCATTCCAGGCCAGGTTGGCCGGGGCTGTGAGCAACCTGATGTGGTTCAAGGTGTCCCTGGTCCTGCAGGGGGGTTGGGCTGGGTGACCTCTGGGGGTCCCTTCCCACCCAAACCATTCCATGATTCTATGAATTAGCATGCCACAGATGCACACTTTGGCTTGCTGTATGCGGGCTGGTTTAACCATGCCCAAGCGCTGACATCGGGAGGGTCTGTGAGTCTGGGTTTTTCCATTGGTGAACTGTCTGTCCATTTCCTGCAGAGAAGGGATGTTCTGCTGCTGCTTCTTTTAATTGAGCAGATGGCCATCAGATCAACTTGTCCTCTTCTGCTTTCTCATTTGAGATGATGCTTCCTGTGCATGTGCCTTTTTAACACTTCTGCAATCTTTTTGTGATGCACTTTTGCGATGTGCAGTCCAGCAATGGATTGCCAGTCTGAGAAGGGAGTAGGAGGATTTCTTTTCCTCAATTCTGGTCTAGAGATTTTTCAGCTTGCATGCATCGTTACAGCTTTGTAGCAGTCGGACACCGCCTCACAGCTTCACCTTGCTTTGTGGAAGTAAGGGAAGTAAAACTGCTGAAATATTGGGTTTGGGAAGAGAAAGGTGCCTTAAACCGTGGGCCCTGTCAGGCTTCAAAAATGATATTAAGGATAACTGATAACTGTCCTTCCTCCTCGATGTCTGTGGGAATGTAGAAGGCATAGCATGTTTGAGATGGTCCCTGGCAATTTGTATTACATCTGTTCATTTTCATGGATGCCTCGAAGGAAGCATCATCCAGCTTCGTGCTTCATCCTGAGCAAAGTTTGGCCAGTACTGCCTTAAATGCCTGACTAAAGAGGAATGCAATGGGTACAGTGAGGACTTTTCCTCTGAAGAAGATGGTATAGAGGACGTTTCCTCTGAAGAAGATGGTGTAGAGGACGTTTCCTCCTCCCAGAAGATGATGTAGAGGACGTTTCCTCTGAAGAAGATGGTGTAGAGGACGTTTCCTCCTCCCAGAAGATGATGTAGAGGACGTTTCCTCTGAAGAAGATGATGTAGAGGACATTTCCGCTGAAGAAGATGATGCAGAGGACACTTCCGCTGAAGAAGATGATGTAGAGGACGTTTCCTCCTCCCAGAAGATGACGTATTCCTTCCTCAACAACACATTATCTTCTAGCTGGCAAAGACAGTCAGAGCACATCAGTGGCAGCTGGGATGAGCTCAGTGGGTTGGCTCCGCTGGTTCTATTAGTGGAAACCTCAATTAACCCTTTAGGTGATGGCCCGGAAGGTGCTGCAGGAAGGGGCTAGTGAAAGGTGCTACCTGGAGGCTGTTATTTTTTGTGAATATAGTTTGGGCCTCCTCTCTACCTTCCCTTCGGTAAACTCTGCCTGGCAGCCGAGCATGGATAACTGGGGTAAATAGGAGGGAGTGCTGCGATCGTCTCCTAGCAGGAGCGAGGTGTGTTCTTTGGTCAGGGCCTGGAAGGCGTTGGGCGATAGCAGTAACCGGTTTCTCAATAACAGCGCTGTTGGTCTCTCTTGCAGCGGGAGTCAGCTCATTACTTCGGTTACGTGTACTTCAGGCAAGTCAAGGACAGCTCCATGAAGAGGGGTTATTTTCAGAAGGTGAGTACTGAAACCAGATAGCTTGCTACTCTCCACTGGTACGTAGCTGTAAAAAGGCACCTCTCCATAGCTGTAAAATAGCACCACTTCCTACGTGACACCCACGCTGTTTCTGCAGGAAACAGCAAAGGTCAGGGAGAACGGGAATAGGAGGAAAGTGTAATTCCAAACAAACCTGGATGCGGTTGCCATGGTGCGTTAATCACATGAGCAGTGACCTGCTGGCTGAATCATGAGATCCCGAAGGGCTCCAACATTGGCTCTCTATGTACTCCAGTGTCACAGGCAGCAAGAGGATGTGCTTCGCTATCGCAGTCCGCGCTAGTTAGACCTGAATCCTACTCTTAGCAGCACTTTAATCGTTCCTCTTCCTGGTAGCCATCTGGGAATGCGTTTCCTGCTGGGCTGATTGCTTCTAGCCAGCAGCAGTGGCACTGCTGGTACCTCACCAACCTTCTCTCTTATCACAAGTTCCTTTGACGCTGGAAAAAATAATATAAGCTGCATGTTTATTTCAGCATAAATATGCAAAGTGCTTGGTATTATTCAGAGAGTTACAGTCACCACCTGAAAGAGAGTGACGTTTCAGATGGCTTCTAGAGAAGGAAAATATTTTACTTTGATCCTAAGATCTGTTTTTCTCCATGGAATTACTCTTTCAGTAGTGCTTTTTCACATCAAAAGGTAAAGCGCCGTCCTCTCAAACAAAGGCCAAGGGCCGGGTCCTGCCCTGGGGTCACCACAACCCCAGGCAGCACCCCAGGCGTGGGGCAGAGGGGCTGGAAAGCTGCCCGGCGGAAAAGGCCCTGGGGGGGTTGGTGGAGAGGGGGCTGGATAGGAGCCAGCAGGGTGCCCAGGTGGCCAAGAGGGCCAGCGGCATCCTGGCTTGTATGAGGAGTGGTGTGGCCAGCAGGAGCAGGGCAGGGA